TAAGTACACAGTGGTTCAAGTCATATTCTTCTCTCCACTTACGCAGAAATTAGAAAATTTCCATAATAAAAAGGCAAATAAACTGCCTGAACTAGCTCTCTCTCAAACCCTTTTAAAGCCAGCTCTACTTATGAGCCTACCCGAATTTCTCCCATTTCTGGAGTTCTACCTGTACTGCTCATTCTTCACAATTATGGCCTTAATTTCTTACTTCACGTCTTCATGTATGGATTTATTTCCGTAGTGAAAGAACAACAAAACAGTCCTTGCCATCAGGGAGTTTATAATCCTTTCTCTCTTAAATCCAACCTATTTCATTCAACAAACTTCATTTACCAAATACCCACTATGAGCCACTCTGTCTAACACCACATGGATACAAACATCAGGCCTCTAGCCTTAAAGAGCTCACAATGTAACAGAATTAAAATGCAGTTAGATGGGTTCCCCCCCCCAAAAAAATCCCAGTTATTTCTCAGTTGAAAACTTTTCACTAGCTTACCTCTGCATAAAGAATCAAACTCCTTTTCCTAGAAGTCAATGTCCTTTATAATCTAGTCCTGAGTGCCCTTTGGTCCAAATATGCCTACTTTTCCACTTCCTGGATCCTCCAAGGTTCTCAATGTGCCTTTCCTTATGCCATTTCCTAAACCTTTAAAACTGTATCAAATGCACTCTACAGATCTGAACCCTGACAATCCTTTCAAGGCCCAGTTCAATGTCTCCATGAAGATCACACTCCTAAAATCCATCAGCAGAGATTCACACTGCAACGTCCTTATCTTCTCGTAAGCCTCCACAATGTCCAACACAATGTCTTGCCTACAGAAAATGCACAGTGATTATCTTATTACCAATTTACCTAATTACCTTGGGTATTTAAAAAGACTAACCCATGCAGGAGGATAGCCTGTCCTCTTAGGGCCAGTCTCCCCAAACCCAACTCAGAGAAGCTCTTCTACTGGTCTGTAGTACTCAAATCACTGCCCAATGGAATGTGGGTGTAAAAGCAGAACTGAAGGGCTAAAGTAACCTTACCAGAGATCCTATTTTGAATCCAACAATAACATTAAAAAAAAAAAGAGGGAAAACAAAGCAAGCCAAAGATGACCGTAATCATGAAGTGCTGAAATCAATGTGGTAGCTCTCTGGGCTTGTCTAATCACTTCTGATTTGGGGTCTATGGTTTTAAATAGCAACCCACTCTCCTGCTGCAAAAATCAACTGCTGTGTTAAACTGGAGAAGTATTCCTAAATATCTCAAAGTCTTTCTCTTCTTTGTGAATGCCATGAGAAAACAAAGAACCCACCGTCCCCGCAGGTAACGAGCTGGTGGTCGGTGATAAAGTATTATCAAGAATCAAATACAAGAGGGCGCCTGGGTGGCTCAGTTGGTTAAGCGACTGCCTTCGGCTCAGGTCATGATCCTGGAGTCCCAGGATCGAGTCCCGCATCGGGCTCCCTGCTCGGCAGGGAGTCTGCTTCTCCCTCTGACCCTCCTCCCTCTCATGCTCTCTGTATTTCATTCTCTCTGTCTCAAATAAATAAATAAAATTAAAAAAAAAAAAAAAGAATCAAATACAAGAAAGCACTCACTGTTGCTGCACTTAGCCTACTATGGTTTAAGTACCTACATACGAACCTGTCTCTCCGACCAAACCATGAGCTCAAGAGCAAGGAGTCAAGGACTGGAAAGGCTGTCTTACTCAGCTCTGGACATCCTAAAGTATAACAGCCTGGCACACTGAGGGACTCAGGAAGTGCTCTCTGAGAGAATTAGGGAATGAATTCCACCGTTGGCTAAAACCTGTTCGAAATGCCAACAGCCTGTTAAAAAGTCATGGGAAAAAAAAGTTAAAATAGTATATTCAAATGCCAACTGCCTGTTAAAAAGTAATGGAATGCAGAAGTCATGTGCATTTGATGTTTAAGCAGACCAAGCATAATCTACTGGTGGTTTCTTCCTTCACAACAATTTCCAACAGCTGACATATACCATTCCCTAAGAAACTATTTCATTTTATCCCTAATCTCATCACTCTTTTCTACTACTTCTTGGATAGGGCGAAAATGTGTGTGTGGGGCGGGGGGGGATCCTTTCTTGATGCTCTATCAGACAGATCCTTCGCCAGTGTTCCTGCCTCAGTTTCAATTGGTTCCTGCTTTTTTATTACGCACCGACCCATTAAAAAAAAATCTAGAGCCAGTGAGAGAGTGATTATCAAAGAACGGAAGCTTCGGGATCAGAGTTGGGGAGGGTGCATATACACTTTAATCTGCCCCCAATTTAATTAAGAGTCACTGTCAAAATTAAAAGGGACCATAACAGGTAAAAAGCACTGCACACATATACACACACATACTTACATAACATAGATATATGACATATATTTGTATGTATACAAAATTGAGACTATCTGAAAACAATTTCTGGTATAAAACTGTTTTCTCATGTTACGTGTAATTTTTTTGAAAGGCACAGGTACTAGATACTGATACAAGGGGTGCGGGTGGGGTGGAAGGACTCTAAAATTAGATCATTTGACCAAAAACAACTCTAGAATTAGTTCATTTGACCACATCCTCACATACAAGGCTGTATGATGATGGTGATAAAAGGAACATTCTTCTGAAAAAGCAAAGGTAATCGAGTCAGAGACCATTCAGTTCATCAGGGGAAAATGCTCACAGGCACATGAGCTACTTACAGCACAATTCTCGCACACATTCTATCTCCAGAAGAGTGTACAAAGCAACTTTGAAAACCATAAGGGAAACGGTACCACTACTCATCTCTCCAGTGACCTAAGAGTTTAAAACAACCTCACTTAAATACGTAAGTTCGACAATCTGTATTTTGAATGAATAAAAAGCCCAAAACAAAGGAACAAAAAATCCAACAAGCCTAAACAAACAGCCATACCTTTTAACGCTTTCTCTGCTAGTTATGATTTCAAAGCGTTCCCGTTAATAACATGGTCACATAAACAGTAACTGTTCTCTTAAAACAGCATTCTTTCAAGGAATAAATGTTTAAAACAAACAGAAATGTCACACTGTCTTCTAAGCCAACAACCCACCTCAAAGAGATAATCAGGAACAAATGAAAAAATGTCTAAGAAAGAATGTCTACAGAAACATTTTGTCTCCTACTGAAAAACCAGAAGCAACAGAAAACTCCATTAGGAGAGTATGCAGCTACTGAAATTAAAGGGCTGTGATTAATGCCATTAAAGATATTACTGATTAAGCTTAAAAAAAAGGTTATAAAAGAGCATATAAAATAAAATTACATACATCTATGTATATAATAAATTCAGAAATATCTTTGGAACGATTATCTCTTAAGTGGCATTTTGTGAGATTTTTATATATTCTCTGAAAAAAAAATTTACAGAAAATCACAATGAGCCTGCATCATTTTATATCAAACCTTTCAAAAAAAAGAAGACCATACTAATTTCAGTAAATTCTGTCCAATAACTACGTACTGTCCCATAATGGTGTGGTTTAGCCTCTCTGAAAGGCAATCAGACACCAACACAATGATAAATGCACACTTTGATTCAGCAATCCCACTTATAGGTATCTATCCTACAGCCATTCTCACCCAAGTGTGCAAAGACACACTTCTGTTCAAGAATATTTACAGAAGCACTGCTTGCACTGGATGTGACCTAACTGTCCATCAACAGGGCCTAGATAAATTATGTAGATTCATACAATGAAATACTGTGCATACACAGAATGAGACAGTTCTGTGTGTTGGAACTGAATGACATCCAAGATAATTCAAGGTTTAAACAACAACAACAACAACAGTATGTATCAACTAACAGAAGGGAAAGGGGAAGGAAGAGACATAGACAAGCGTACCTATGTTTGCACAGACCATCTCCAGCACACACAAAACCCCGTAAATAGCGCTTCTAAATAGTAGCTTGCCAGTGGGCTGGAGGTCTAGAAATCAGGGGTGGTAAGATTTTTTCATTGTGAACACTGTCAATCAATTTGCATTGTTTGAATTTTATTTTTTTACCATACGGGTAGGCTACTTTTAATAGTTCGGTTTTTTTTTAATGGGGCAGCTAATTACTTTGCTGTTGTATAAATAAATATGAAGGGGGGGGGAAAGGTTTCCAAGTATCAAAATATGTGATCAAAATAGCTGTTTTTAAAAGTTTCAAAAACAAAATTCTCAACTGTCATTTGCTGCTTTAGGCTTATTACAATCCCTGAAAATTACACCCAACAGTAAACCCAAGCTCTTCTTTTGGACAAAGGTGTTTACACTGTTGCTAGCCAACAAATCCAAGTCTGTCTAACCCAGTCCTTGTTTTGCTCTCAGGATTGTAGCAGTTTTTAAAATCTCTTTTCTCTCTTGCTATATTTAATACATGTTCTATGTGAAAGGTTTTTCTATTGGCCACACAATAAATAGAGAATAAGGGAACAGATTTTCTCCTTTTCAACTGGTATTAATCCTTCCAGGTCAGTGTGGCCTGGCCTTCCCCGACAGAATAACAAACGAAATGCCTAGCTAAGACACATAAGACAATGACTCACTAAATATAGTAGTTTCTACTCCACCGGTGTTCTTAAAACAAACAAACAAACAAACAAACAAAAAAACCCCAAAGCTAAGAAAAATACATTACATTGAAGTATATTCTCAAGTGGATTCAATGCAAGCCTAGGGGCTCAGATCAACTGCCACTAACATCCCCTGTAACTCTGGGGAACCCAGGAACTGGAAGGGACTCCAAATCAGAGACAGAAAATGCCCCTTAACATCGTGACTGAGGTCTTTGTATCACACTCGTTCAACATATTCTCAAATACCGGAGACACGACCAACAAGGGTGCGCTGGAAGGGACACCTCATCAAAACAGGTCTGTCAGTGCCGGCTGACTCAGCAGCCACTGGTTAAAGAGAGGTACGAGACTTCCTGAAAATAACGACAAACACTTAGAAAGCCGAATGAAGAAGGTGAACTCACCTTTAACGCTTTTTCTGTTAACATCTGCCCCCTTTTCAAGTAAATACTGAGCAATCTCTTTGTGTCCTTTGTAACACGAAATCATCAAGCACGTATGCCCGTGTCGGTTGGACACTTCCAAGTCAGCTTTGTGTTCCACAAGGTACTTCACTATTTCCAAATGGCCATCGAAACAGGCAGCTCGAAGGGGGGTGGAATTGGTTAAAGTTGTGTTGTTGACAGACGCCCCATGATTTAACAAAGACTGCACCACCTTCAGATGTCCCGCGGCAGAGGCTGCCCACAACGGGGGGGCCCCCTCGATGGTTTCGCCATCAAAATTGACCGAGCCCCCCACTTCTATGGAGGCACTGCAGTGCTCTAGGAGGAACTCCACCATGTCCAGGTGCCCATACCTGGCGGCCATCAGGAGTGGCGTGGCTCCATTTGTTTTTTCAGAGATCAAGGAGGAAACCTCCTCTTTGGATTTGCTTGCCAACAACTTGGTGAGAAGCCGGAGTTTGCCATCCCGAGCTGCGTTAAATACTGCTGTCTTTAGATCCATTTATGTCCAGTTGAGAGGCTGCGCTTTTCTTTATCCTTCACAGCAAAACTCCCCAGCTTAACTCTATCGACACAGGCAGGAGTTACAGGAACCGAAGTTCAATGTTAATCGCTGCACCCCAAACGGATATAAAGCCACGGAGAGTCTGTTGTCTCACCGCCTTGCAACATCTGACAACCAGAGCACCGAACTAGAAAAAGGAAAAGTAGCAGTTTTCAATTTTCCAGAGGGAAAGGCAAAAACACTATTTAGGTTTTCTTTAATTTCTACTCCTAGGCGGCGGGGGATGGGGGCGGCATACTTCAGGGACTCCTCAAGCCACCCAAGCACGGTGGGAAAGAATGCAAGAAGGTGCACACCGACCCAAATGTTTTGGTGGCAGGCCGTTTCTTTTCTATACACGGTGAATTGAAACACTACAGGCAACCGGTTTTCTCGCCTAACCAGCCTAGCTGTGTTCCAGTTTCTGCTTTGCACACGCCCAGCAGAGTACAACCGAAAGAGGCAAGAGACGCGGGTTCAGAAATGTTTCTCTCCCTCCCTTCTGCAGACAGCGAGCCAAGGGCGCGGAGGCCTCGCGGTGGCCAGAATGGGTTCCGAGAAGGAACAAGAAGGTCGGACACAACAACCAGCTAACGCCGAAGCCCTCGCCCTACAGCTTCTCTTTCCTTTAAACTACTCGAGGCTCTCAGGAAATCCGGCCGCCCTGGAGCGAACTTCGCCCGCCCCATTTTGAGCCCCCCGCCCCCTCCCCGCCAGGGATCGCAGGTTCCCCCGACCACCGTCGCCCCCTGCAGACCCGGGCGGCCCTCCCCGAGCGACCACGACCCCCGCCCGGGCGGCCGCCGAGCCTGGGGCCTCCAGCCCCGGCGCCCTCCTTCCCCTTCCCGCCAGGGCCTCCCCGCGGGCGCCTCAGGCCGCAGCCCGGGCTCCGGCGGGCCCCCCGCCGCCGCCACTACCTGCCCGGGGGCTGGTCCTCTCCGCCGCCGCCGCCGCCGCCGCCGCCGCCGCCGGCCGCTCGGGCTCGGGCCGCCCCCCTTAAATGGAAACCGTTGTCCGCGCCGCCGCCCGGGCCGGCCTGCTCCGCCTGCAGCCGCGCAGCTCCTCCATGCCCCGCGCCCCACAGGAATGAATCCGGCCGCGCCGTTCGCCCCGCCCCGCCCCGCCGAGCCGCCTCCCGCCCTCCCTGTCTGCGCGGGCTACAGCAGCTGCAGCGGATGCCGCGGCGGATGGTGTAATGGGCTGCGGGCGGGGGCCGGACGAGCCTGAGCGAGGTTTCACATCACTGACGCGGCAGCCGCGCCATTGGGCCGGGGGAGGGCGGCGAGCGCCGCGAGCAACCGCGTAGGGGCGGGGCCGCAGGGGCGGGGCCGCAGGGGCGGGGCCGCAGGGGGCGGGGCCGCGAGCCCGCGGAGGACGCACCAGCGTGAGGCACGCCGGGGGGCGGGGCGCCACGAGGGGGCGGGGCCACGCCGTAACGCGGCGACCCGGGGCCGTGGGGGGGGGCGCGGTGCGGGCGTCTCGCGGGCTTCTCTGCTCTCGCTTCGCCGCGCCTGTGTCGGGAGGCTGGTTTGGGGGACCTTCGGGTCCCACGGCCAGAACTGCCAGAAGGGTGGTGGCTGTTATTACTCCTTCGCACCCGTAAATGCTCTCGGACTACACTCTTCTCTCCTTTTGGTGGAAATACACCGAGCGCTTAGATCTCGCAAAAGCAAAACGAGAAGAACACTAGACACAGAAATTTGAGAAAAAAGATTCGTTTGGGAGGCTGCCAATCATGACTTGTTCTTTTTTTTAAAATAAGGACTCTAAAAAGTAAAAATTTACGAAAAGTGGTAAAATTTCAGAGCAGCGTAAGTCAACAAGGTCGAGCTCCTGAACTCTTGCAACATTATAAAACCGGGAAATGAAAGAAAGCTAAAAAGTTAATATGAATAAAGAGTATCATAGAGCAGGAGGAAAACTTACCAAATTTATGACGTTAAGACATGGGATGTATTAAACCAGCTTGAAGAAGAGTGTAAGCCTGTTTGGGGAATGACGCCCATAGTGAATCGTGATGAGAAAATAGTGTTTGAAAAACTGATCATCCATCTCTTGAAAGCTTTATTTTGGGGAACTTAAACTTGCACCCAATTCCTTGGGTACCACCGGGGGAAAGAGAATATCAGATTAGACAGATTATCTGACCCCAGCCCCACAAAGGTAATCATTATTTTAAAAGACATTTCACACACACACAAATCACAACTTCATTTTTGCTTATTGACTCACAGTGTTGTCGAGAAATTTATGTAGTTTTGTAGTTGATGTAGTTTTGCATAATTGAAGTCCTAATTTTCATACAGCTACATATTTTGCTTTTTTCCCTTACCATACTCCAAAGATTTCTCATGTTTTTACAGTCTTAATAATCATTTTTTATTTAGGTAGTCAGTATACGGGCTCCACATTGGTACCCCAAAATTGAAGTTCAGGTTACTAGCATTGAGAAGAAAACATAGAAGAATAGAATATAAAGGATCAGGGCAGCCTTCTTTAACAATCTACCAACCCAGAGGAATAGCTGTTTTATCCCTAGTGCCACAGTTCTATACTCCCAAGGTACAAAATTACAAAATCCCAGTTACAAAATCCCAACCAAGACGTAGCCTGAGCTGACCTGTCTCTCTTACCAAATTCAATAAGATGATGTAAATGGCCTGCAAACTGAGATGTGCACCCCCCCAGGGGATTTTCAAGGGGTAGGTGCATACTTAAGATCATTTTAAGACCACTTGTTTCTGAATCTTCAACTTGCATCTATATTATTTCCAGAAACTGATTTGCTGTTTTAGAGAATGCAGTCAAGGTGTCTCCCTGTTTCCTTTCCTAACTGTATCACCATAGCCTTATATTTTCCAAATTGCAAAAAAAGGGGGGGGGGCATAACTCTCATTCACTGAGAATCTTAAAAGGGTGCATTATTCCAGGGTGTAAAAACTTCAGGGAAACTTTGTCAGTTTTTTATCTACTTAAAATACCAGACTGTGTTGAGAAAGTATATACTTCTAATGGCTGTGTAACAAGTTCTTCTGCGAGTCATATGATTTCCAAATAATTGCTTTCAATAAAGGATGACCTTAAGATCACTAAATGAGTGTATAAATTAGAAGGAGTTCTAAGGATTGAAAAGTTCAGAACACCTTACAACCCCATCTACTTAGTAATGGTAAAAACATTCTTAGAATTTACAAAAATGAAAAACAGAAAACATTGATGCTAAACTATATCTCTTTCTTGTAAGTAGTAGTATTCAACAACAAATACATGCAGTAATTGTAAAAAAAAATACTTATGTCTAATAATTTTAAAACTTTGTAATATATTTTATATTATTTTGAATACTTGATTATTACTGATAAATATATCTCAATCTAGAAGAAAATGTTTCAGCACTTAGCCACAGGAAAATTAAAAATTGAAATTTAAATGTATATATCTTTTCATTGCAGAGAAGTATAGTAGGGTGATAGAAAAAATACATTCAAACACAGAAATACATGAAATTAGGATATAATCCTTAGGGGTGAGAATATGGAATGGAGTTATAGCGTAAAGAGAAAAATAAACTAGGCAGACTATACTGTAGGTAAAGAAGAGGCTTTTCATATATTTTTGAAATGGTGAATAGTAGGCATAATCACTATGGTGTTTACATTTTATTGGATTCATTTAAGAGACCGACTATTCCATTTTAAAATGTCAATGTTTATAGTATGCAGGAAATTGCCTCCTTTGCAACTACTTAAACTTATGATGAAAATTTTAAATGTTAACCTAAAAATATGCAAGAGGGTAAACAGTATTTCATGTAGTAAGCAGAAATGTTTGAGGACCACTAATTTTACTCATCAATCCCCTATTGGAGGTTGTCTCCATTTCTAAAGATTTTGGCAAATTTGTTCTTCTAATTTTTTTTTTTTTTAGTTTTTACTTTTCTTAAAGAATCTCAACTAAAATTCCTTTTGTTTTTTTGTTAAATGGTCTTACATTCTTTTTCGAAACACCTGCCTCCTCCCAACACTCTCTGAATGGGAAGTAAAAGGTTTTTGTTCGGTTGGGTTGGTTGGATAGGGATTGGTTTGGTTGTTAAGGCTTTGGATTCTGATTTAATCAGCAATTATTGTCTTCCTAAAAGCCTGAGAATGCTCTGGGGGCTATATACCAAGAAGAACCATGGACTCAAGTTCTAAGGAGCCTCCAGATGGTGCAGGTGGGAACTAGCGGACTGGAAAAATGGGGAGGGACCCAGAGGGATGGCACATAAAATGAGGTGCCACAGCCAGGAGCCAAGGTGAATCCTTGGTCTGCTCTGAGGGGAGTGGGGTGTCGCCTGCATCCACAGCTCTGATTCACTGGGCTTGTGGGAGACCCAACGCTTTACAGGTGTCTGTGAGGGTACCTCCCTGGGAGGCCCCCAGGATACTGGGAGCCCAGAGGCAACATCATCCCATGCCTGAAAGGGTGATGGAGACCAACTGGACTAGCAGAGAGACGGCACCCTTATTACCAGAACAACATACATTTTCAAGCGTATAGGTTTTCTTCTTTTCATGTATTGCTTTGGGATAAATTTCCAGGAGTTGGATTATGGAACTTCTTTCTGGCTTCTCGTACATACTGTCATTCTGCTTTCCCAAAGAGTTAGGCCAATCTGCGATATGAGCAGCAAAGGAGTGTGCTGAATTCACCAAACCATGCACCCACTGAAGATTACATTTTTAAAATTCCTCTAGAATGTGTAAAATGATGCATCAAATTTCCCCAAATTCGCCTGGCCACCCTTGTGATTTGGGGGTCCATATAATCTCCTGTAATTAGTAGGGTATTCTTTCTACAGTTTCCCTTCTGGGGATTTTTTTTTCTTAAGTTTATTTATTTTTTAATAATCTCTACACCCAACGTGGGGCTCGAACTCATGACCCCCATATCAAGAGTCACCCGCTCCACTGACTGAGCCTGGCAGGTGCCCCTCTTCTGGGGATTTTCAAACGTTTACTTCTTGCTGGCCTCTGCTTAAACCAGAAACTTCAGTGAAACCGTCCGCTTGCACGGTTTTGATGATCTTCATTAATTTGGTCTGATTTGGGTGAACGGAAAAATACTTTTTGTTTTCAGTAACTAACTGGGCAGCAGTTTAATTCAGAAAAGCATGAAAGGAGCCTGCTTTCATGAATACAGAAGTAACACAAAAATAGCACGTAGCCTTCCCCAGCCATTCAGAAACGCCTTTATCGTATGAGAAACCTATTTTATCAACACCGATTGATCATTTGTTTAAACAAGGTGCGAAGGATTTTATTGTTATCAATCCATTCATCGTGTGCATAGCATTGCCTGTGCATCGTGAGTCCCACTGTGTACTCGTCAGATGCTAAGTGAATACATGGATCCTTGCTTTCAAAGAACTCATGGCTGTGGGAGAAACGTAGATAAACAGATCAGAGTGAAATATGTATATAAACAACCCCGAGGGCCCAAAGGATGGAGCTGCCAACGCTCCTTGGGCGAGGCTGGGAAGGAGGTGTGGATCCTAAAGAATGAGTGGGAGTAGGCCCAGCCAAAAAGCAGTGGGAGAAGGGAGGGAGCCCAATGGAGAAAGCAGGGAGATGACCGGACACAGGTAAATGGCCCCTCCCTTCTTCCCCACTCGCCCCCACCCCCAGACACAGGGTGGTACCCTATGCAACCTCTGAATGTGCAAAATCCCAGCTCCCCTCCCTCAAAGTGCATCACAACTCACCATTTCCTAGTTGTACAACTCCACCAGAATTCACATTCTCTAGGTCGGCTGCCCTCTTGGAAGTTTCAGGAGCTCGGCCGGGTGCAAGTAATCTACTTAAAGCAAGAATACATCCAGGGGGTACTCACCTTTTACAAAGGAAACTCGTGAGCCCTGATGAATCTTACCATCACAGAAGTAAGGCAGAGCAGAATTCTTGTAGCCGGGAGCTTTCTGGATTCTCGCTGTATATTTTGGCCTAGCCTCTCTTTCCTTCCCTGAACTATGCAAAAGGAAGAGGCAGCAACTCGATCGCCAAATTCTGATCATCTCCTGGCACTGTCTCCCTCACTGGCATGGTGCCATATTCTTACTCATCACATTATCACCAGCTAGAAATCCTGCGTCATTGTAAAAGTATGTGCTTCTTTCCTCTGTTAGCCCATTTCCTGAAGTTGTCAGGGCCCTGACCCCAGCTCTCTAGGAGCAATAGATGAGAAAGATCCTGAAGAGTCTCAAGAACTGGCTTCCACCCCTTGAGAGTCTCCCCTGATACATCCCAACCCAGCTCACTCAACAATGTCCAGAAGTTCTGACACAGAAGCCCACATTTCTCAAAGAGGTGAGGATGTAATTGGTCACTCAGAGCAGGAAATCTGAGGATCTTGAAGAGCTAAAAAGAGGCTCCCAGGTGTGGGCAGATGAAAGAGGCCAGAGTCACCCCAGATATGAGGCCACTGTCAGAAGCACAGTCCTGTCCATCAAGGGCAGCTGACAATGATCCATGTGTACATGACCTTTAGTCTCAGCCCTTCTTCCTGCCCTGACCTCTGTGCCTGCCACTGCCTGGCTGCCCAGGCCTATGTGGGTAGCCACTAATCAACCAGGAATTACTGCCTCACCACTAATTCGTTGGCCTGAGCCCCAGTCTGGCAGATGCGTCCAGTAATTATCCCCCCTGAATATTTATCCATCTCACCTTTTTGCTTTTTCAGATTTTGGCATTTGAATTTCTTTTGAATATCTGAATACGTCCCTTTTTGCAAGCTAGGAAGCAGAATTAAACTAAGGCATTCTAGTCCTCTAGGGATCCAGACCGAATCTTGGCAATCTTCAGCAAAATGACATCATAATACAAGGTGCTAACAACAGGCTTCTAAACTCTAAATAATAACCACCTATCTACATTTTTTTCCCCCTTAGGAAGCAGCCAAAAGTCCAGTCCTTAAAGGCAGGATATACAAAACATCTTGATTTACAAAGGACAGAATGACCCAAATGATATGCTGGCTAATTTACGGGTGGACCAGATGCACGCTGACCAAAGACTGGTGAACAGAGAAAGTGTTTACCTTTGGGAAACTCGCTCTGAGGTTGAAAAAAGTCCTGGCTGCTGTGAATAAGAGAGCAGGTAAAAAAATATTACAGATGTACCCGCACCGACACTTGAGTTTGCCGAGGTCTTACATTAGAACGCAGAGTTCGTGATGAGTGTAGGGGGGAGATGCTTACATTGTTCTCAAAATAAATGACTAGTAGTAGGAAATTTGACCCATTGACCCATTCTTCCATTTGCCACCAGAACAAACTGCCCATGAGGATGATGTAAAAAAAAAAATGGTGAACTCCGGGGGGCGCAGTTGGTTGAGCCCCCAACTCTTGATTTTGGCTCAGGTCTGAAGACCACATCTCTCCCAGACTCCTTACAACCGCATCCAGGCCATCATGAGTGAGCCAAACAGTGGAGGATCTTATCCATCCTCGTAAGATAAAAAAGCCATCTCTACTTCCTGCAGCAGAATGGGCCTCGACATTATTGTTTCTTAGGGTATGGTGCACAGATCTTAAGAATATGGACCACCTAGGAAAGTTATTTAAGGAGAAGACTCCTGGAACACATTCTTGGAAATTCAGATTAACTAGCTTCGATGTGAAACACAAGAGTCTGCGTTTTAACAAATCCAGGAGATGATTCTTCCACCCTCTAAGTTGGAGAACATGGTCTTATGGGTTCTTGTCCAACTTTGTAAAGAGAATGTGACATCACTAGTGGGCATCCTAGCCCTGTTTCTCCCAATTACCTTAGTGTCTACTCAGTAAGACTCACTGGACAGAAAACCCAAGACAGCCATTAGCCAAGAGCAAATTCAGCCCAGGCCCAAGGATGTTGGCTATATGACTGATGGATGACCCCACTGATGCTGTAAGAATTGTTTATTGGGCAGTTTACCAACCTGGTTTACACCCTGATGAACCACACCTTAAGTGAGAAATCCTGGTGTTGAATTCTGTCGCTGCCCAGACTGATGTCACATAGGCTGAGTTCTTGTCAGTTGCAAACATATGAGACTCCACCCAATGTCTTAAGAGCCACACTTTATTAGAGAGGGAGGAGTCAGACCACTTCTAATCCAGTAGCCCAACTAGGTCCCCTGTTGCCACCCCACCCTGGGTCTAGGGCACTCCTCCCCCTTCTCCCAGCCCTGGGATCAAAGCCACCACGCCTGCCCCTAAGCCTCTGAATGGTCATCTGGTGCCTTATTTCGTAAAGAGCCTTGGAAGTGAGTTTGGCTTTCACCACCCTCACCCCTTTGGTGTTTTCACCATCTTGTCTCAGTTCCAGACTCCACTTCAAAGTTGCCTTCTCCCACACCCACTGATGCACCCCGACACGGGAGCTCCCAGGCGCCTCCTTAGACACTCAGCTGGAAGGCCTCCTACCCCCCATGCGTTGGGATGAATTATTAGTGACGATTCTCTCTCTGCCAAGGTGACGACCTAAATTCCGGGGCAGCTGCAACACCTCCGAGGTGCTCACGGCTCTAGACGCCACAGGCCACCAGCTGTCCTGCGGTGGAATCCGCTATGTCCCAGCCTAAAACTGTGTAAGATGGATCCCCCTGAGGATCAGCCCCACCTCATTTCCCATCCCTGTGACTTCCTGAGCACCGAGGGACCCTGTCCACTGGTTCTGGGTCTCCACCCCATCTTTAGGTCCTTCCTGCAAGGGCCTGGCAGGGTTCACTGCTGACCTCTCTCGAAAGAGGCCAGGGCTACAACAGTCACTTTCCCTGACCCCTCCCACTTGCTTCTGGCTTCTTTCTCCTGCCACCTCCTGGTACCTCCAGCGTGAACTTGTGCTGACCCCCACCCTGAGCTCAACCCTGACGCTGAGGATTCTGTTCCTTTGACTCTTGCTGAAGCCATCGTGAACACACCTTCCAACTCCCCATACTTCTGCTTGGAAACACTCTGGCCACTGGCTGCTGGGATCGTTAACCGAAGCTGCTGTGTTTCCTCATAACAGCGGCTCCTGTCTGGCTCTTCTTTTGGCATTAATCTCTGCCACCAAGTTGTTAGTTCTTCAAAGCCTGGCCACGCTGGTAGGTGGGCGCCATGCTAAGTCTCAGCCTCCCTTCCTGCCCCCGAATGGCCAGAGTAGCCTACTGTTCTCACAAGCCCATCTTGGGTCATGGGTCCTGGTCAGGAGGGGAGAAGGCCCTAAAGTGTCCGTTTTGTGAGCTCCGTGCTCTTGTGGAGGGCCCTTGAGGAACTGTCTGAAGACTACATTTGTGGTAGATCTGTGTTATAAATGGAAGTTTCCCCCTCGAGAAGGACAGATTGAATCCTCGGGAGCAGGCTAGCTGATGTGTCCTTGAAGTGGTGCATCCATCCTACTTAGGCTCATGACAATCGGTCAGTTTTCTAGGCTTTGTTGTACTTTGGCTAAATCAGTTTGCTATTTATTTTATTTTATTTTATTTTATTTTATTTTATTTTATTTATTTTATTTTATTATTTTATATTTTATTTTATTTTATTTTTTTATTTTATTTTATTTTACTTTATTTTACTTTATTTTACTTTACTTTACTTTACTTTACTTTTTACTTTACTTTACTTTACTTTACCTTTTACTTTACTTTACTTTACTTTACTTTACTTTACTTTACTTTATTATTTGACCTAAGGGTTCTCCCAGGCCTTTCGGACAGGCTTCAATTCCTTAGTCTACAGCACGCAGTCCAAGAACACCCACAACCCCTCACCTTCTAGGTCCCTCCCCACTGCAAGTAACTCTCTGATTAGTCATTCATGGAGGATAGGTATATTTTGCCCATACATTCATTCACTGCTTCCCTTGGTCTCTTCGTCTCTCAACATGTATTTTGTGCTGATATGCACTATGCCCAGCAACGAGACCTGGGACACAGAGCGCATGAGCAAGATCGCGTCCTACATGTCCTCCTGGAGCATCAGGAGTATCTCACGTGGGCTGGGGGAGGCTGGGGGTAGAGCTCTCCGGAGGCTGTGACGGTTAGAGCTGTCACAGAAGAAGAGGTGAAGGAAGTTCCAGGAAGAGTGAAAGACGCAGAGGCAAGAGAGGGCCTGGCTGCTGAGGAACTGACAGAAGTTCCATGTAGCTAGGAAACAACCCAGACAGGGGAGTGGTGAGAAGTGAAGGGAGAATTTGGAAGGAGTCAGGGCATGGAGCAGCTTGGAAAACCACGCAAGAGAAGCTGAACTCGATGAGGCCGTGCAACTTTCCTGAGCAGGCCAGGCAGGCCCACGTTTAGCCTCTGCTAGCCTAAAGGCTGCCAAGTAACCATCGACTTCTGTTTCTACTGAGAGCAAGCTGGACGTGATGCTAAAAACGCCTGGCTAAGTCACTGGCTCCACAGCCAAGGGGTGGTCCCGAATACAAGTCTTTCACCCAGATCTCAAGGTCTGCTTTCCAGATCAGCGAGTCAAAAGGCCTGATTTGTCCATGTTATGTTCCACTTTACTCTCAAACAACAAGATGCAGATAAAGAAGCCCACACCCGAACTCTAATCCACGACAACACACAGATAAAGAAGCCCACACCCAATCTCTAATCCACAACACCCAAACTCTAATCCAGTGCATCTATCTATTCAGTAGGTTCTGGGGCTAGAATCCCTTATTATTCCTGCCCAGGAATGTGGTGTGGGTGTTCTTGGACTGGGTGCTGTAGACAATATCCAGGGTGTGGGGTTCTGGGGGGTAAAACCACCAGACTGGGTCCCCTAGTTAGAATCATGTACCTCACTGCTAAGTCTGAGTCTATTTCTACATCAGGCACCACACAGAACCAGTGGCAGGAAGACTCAGCCTCTGCCCGAGTTCCCAGACCAAACCAGATGTGGGGCAGGCAGATCCCAACCCCCGTCACCTACTCATCAGAAGGGAAGCCCCGACCTCCAGGAAGGGATGTGTGAGCCGAGACCCGAAAGGAGGGGTCAAAGTTGTAGCCACGCGTAGAGGCGGGAGTAGAGGTTCCAGAAATATGGAACCGGGCGTTCGTTCTGCCACTGACAATAACAGTGAGCATTTATATCTTGTTTCTCTGTGGAAGGGGCTGTGCAGAAAAGCTTGAGGCTGGTTGCTTTATTGATTTTCCTAACGCTGGAAGCGCTGGGACACAGATGGGGAAACTGAGGGATGGAGCAGTGGAGTAACTTGGACGAAATCGCACGACCAGTCGGCCAGTGGCAAGTGGAGTCGGTATCCGGACAGTCTCACCGCAGAACCCAAGCTCTTGACCATGGACCATGGTCCTCCTGCTCATGCCGACCCTGTCCCGGCCTCCCTGTTCTGTGAACCAGTGCATCCCCTCCTGCCACCTCTTCTGTGTTGTGCTTCAGCCCATTGGAGTAGGATTTCATTCATTTGCTATTGAAAGATTTTTGAACAACAGGAACAATGAAACAGAATGAATGGCGATACACACTTAGGAAGGAGAAACACAGGATGTCTGCGAGCGAGCACGACAGGGGCCTGACGGGTATTCTCAGGGGTCAGGGTGGGCTGCCCTGAGGAAAGGACATTTGACGAGAAAGCTGGAGGAAAAACAGTCAACCGGTGGGAATGAGCAAAGCCGGGACAAAGGGTGGTCTGGGGGTGGGGGCGGGGGGCAGGGCGGGAGCAAACATCATTTGATCAAGGGCCTGTTGCAAAGTTAAAAGCAAAAAAGAAAAGATGTGATGAGCACTGGGTCAACTATTGAACACTACATCTGAGACTAAAGTATGTACTGTATGTTGGCTAATTGAATTTAAATTTTTTTAAAAAAGAAAGAAAAGATAAAGAGCTCAAGGCACTTGGGAAAGTCAAACATGAGTGGAACGTAGTGGAGGAGGGAGTCAGGGTGGGACAAGCCGCAGGAGTACGCAAAGCCAGCCCACCATCCCCCTCACTCCACCCTCAGGAAATGTCCAGACAGACTCGTGATGGAGGCAAAGGAGGTCTCGCTGGGCCGAGAATTAACCTGGTGATGAATGCGGTCCTGGTGCTTCGCAGGGTGGTCCTATTAATCCTTGCAGATGGAGGCATTCATGCCCTAACTCCCTACAATTGCTCTTGCCTCCTTCAGCTCATGTTCCCCTCTGCTGGTCAGAGAGGAATGCACGTAGATCATGCCGCTCCTCTGCGCTCAGGGGCTTCCCGCTGCTCTTAGGGAGAAGGCTACAGACGGTGATGTGGTTTACAAGGCCCTCCAGGATCCGGTCTCCACTTGCCCCACGTCCTTGGTTCTTACCATTCTCCTCCTCCAAGCCTTCCTTCCCGCCATCTTGGTTTCGCGACCCTGCATCTCTGACACACTCTTGCTCAGCACTTGGCTTCAGGCCTCACGCACAACCCTTTCCAAGTGAATGCCTACTTCACCATGCTGCCTGGAGGCCTCTTAATGGTCCTCTGCACTTTCTCTACCTTGAAAGGCTAATTTGGAGCGTGTAGTCCCATACGTGCTCCTCGCTGCGGTCAGGCCTTGGTTACCGTCAGCTCATCTGTGCGCTCCATGGGCCTGTGCCCCATCCCCTCGTGTTACCTGGTGCCGAGCAGCCATGCCAGGAACACAAGACACATGCAACAACTATTTGCCCGATTTCTCCTGTGATGCTGTGTGCTCTAGGAGGTGGAGGGGAGAGAATGGTAGAAGAACAAAGAATTTCTGCAAGTGTCTCTGTAACAATAGTGTTGTTCATGGAGACCAGTTTCTCCTCATCATCAAGAAATTGCTTGAATGGGGGCGACTGGGTGGCTCAGTTGGTTAAGCATCTGCCTTCAGCTGCAGGTCATGATCCCAGGGTCCCGGGTTCAAGCCCCACATCAGGCTCCTTGCTCAGCGGGGAGTCTGCTCCTCCCTCTGCCTGCCGATCACCCTGCTTGTGGTCTCTCTCTGACAAATAAATAAAATCTTTTAAAAAAATAAATAAGAATTTGCATGAGTGAAGAATTTTGAGAATGACTTCCTCTGAAGAGAACACAGGTCATTTCTAGAAGGTCTTCTAAAACTCTGCACTCTCCTTGCCTCCAGGCCCAGATTGTGTGCCTGCCACATTTTTTTTTAAAGATTTTATTTATTTATTTGAGAGAGAGAATGAGATAGAGAGAGCATGAGAGGGGGGGAGGGTCAGAGGGAGAAGCAGACTCCCCGCTGAGCAGGGAGCCTGATGCGGGACTCGATCCCAGGACCCTGGGATCATGACCTGAGCCAAAGGCAGACACTCAACGACTGAGCCACCCAGGCGCCCCATTGTATTGCTTTTGATGTAGACCATGCAGTTGTTTGGGCAAAGGTGCAGAAAAAGTTTATTCACAGTTGAAGAAAAGCACAGATATATTCCATAGAAAGCACTGGCTGTCTTGCTCATATTCTGCATAATGCTGCTCGAATAGCACGTGATGTTCTTTCTAATGACACTATCATGGCACTGTTATGAAACTGTTCTCTTACCTCAGCATTTATACTAATGCTGTGAGCAGCATTATACTCTTTGTACTGAGCAATTAAAGATACTATGACTTTGTTGGCATTATTTAAATCTCTCAAAACAGCTACTGGCTCTCTAACAAACACATGTGAAGGAATTCTCAGTTTATCACTTGAATTATAACATCATACTTTAATTATGAAGAAAAGGAATCCTACTTTCTGGTTGAGTTTTTTTTTTTTTAAGATTTTATTTATTTTTTATTTGAGACAGAGAGAATGAGAGAGAGAGCATGAGAGGGGGGAGGGTCAGAGGGAGAAGCAGACCCCCTGCCGAGCAGGGAGCCCGATGCGGGACTCGATCCAGGGACTCCAGGATCATGACCTGAGCCGAAGGCAGTTGCTTAACCAACTGAGCCACCCAGGCGCCCTGCCTGCCACATTTTTACAACATTCCTAAGGCTACTAAGTTTGGGGAGTTAGCACACCTGCCAGATGACAAGAACACAGGCGTCACAGGCAGATAATTCAGTTCAACACCCGTGTGTGGCCCATACGAGGTGCAAGATAAGACAGAGTCCCTCTCCTCGGGACCCGGCAGTCTGGTGTGGGTGACAGACACGTGAACAGGTAATTTGAATTTAATGGGCAAGCTTTGAGAAAAGTATACAGAGCACTACGGAGGCAACCGCCTCCGACTAATCATGTGTCCAAACAGCAATAGCGCTTGGAGCCTCGGTTTCCCCAACTGTACAACAGGCTGCACGTTCCTACTGCCAGGGGCTTGCTTTGAGAACTGAACGAGCTAACACTTGTCAAACACTCAATAGAGTGTTCTGCACCCAGGGGGGACTCGAGAAGGAGTATCCATTAGATCATCGTAATAAGGCCAGCCCCGGAGTTCTCGTCCTGTCTCTGCTGACCAAACACGTGTGCGTCTCCAGCCACACACTGAATCCTCACAGGCCCTTACGCGCTGTCATAACTGCAACAATGACCCACTGTCACGCTTGCCAACCAGAAGTGACAGTTATATTAGCACGAGTCCACGACTGCTCCTCGAGAAATGCCCCAGAGAACATTCAGGGCTGACAGTGGGTCCAGACCATTGTTTTTTTTTTTTTTTTTTTAAGATTTTATTTATTTATTTGAGAGAGAGAGAATGAGAGAGAGCGAGCACATGAGAGGAGGGAGGGTCAGAGGGAGAAGCAGACTCCCCGCCGAGCAGGGAGCCCGATGCGGGACTCGATCCCAGGAGTCCGGGATCATGACCTGAGGCAAAGGCAGTCGCTTAACCAACTGAGCCACCCAGGCGCCCCAGACCATTGTTTTAATGCGAGAAGAATGAAATGTCCACATTATCGCTGTCACGTCTCCCCACTGTCCTCTCCTCACTCTGTCCACTAGTCCATTTTCTGCTCTGTTGCTAATGTGATCCCTGGCCTGCTAGTCCAACACCATAATCCCCTCCACTCTATCCAGAAATCTCAAAGATTCCCTCTGAATCAGAATCAGATTCGTGATTGGGTTCTAGGTTTCACTTACTAGGTGGTCCCTACCTTGGCTCGGTCTGCTGCAGATCATTAGAGATCTCTCTTTTTTGCCTCTATCAGCCTTCTTGTGACTTTGTCCAAGGGTCCCACTCAAGACGGATTTGCATGGATGGGAGTGCTCTTCAGCGTTATAGGATTTAAATTAATACCACTGCCGAAATTCTCCCCAAAGAGGCTTCCATGTGCTAGGCGCTGTGCCGAAAGTAGGTTGTGGTGATTTGTTATTTTAATATTAAGAAGTTAACTACCCAAATGCAAATGAGATTCAGTTGGCTTCTTGTTATTGATGAGATTTGACTATTTTAGAGAAGCCCTGGCTTAAGGAAATGTGAGAGGACTTTGTTTAAAGCATTGATTGTAAACTTTTTTTTCAGTTCTTTGATTTCCTCATGTTTCGTTCTTGAGATAATCATCTATTAGATGACCTTTCCCGGTGGATGCTCCTTACTTCAAGAAGTCATCGTCTTATGAGTATGAGCTCACTGCTGGGGCAATGACTCATAACCTGACATGTGGTGGTTAATATCTCTGTGCTTAAAAACTGGGGTATCATTTTATTAGCTTTATAAACATGTGGGTTGTAGTATGCTTATCAATATATCATGTGTTCCTATGTATCTGCCATAAATTCCTCAAGATACCTGAAATGTGGGCTACACAAACAATCATATCATTGCTTCGGGAGGCAGCATTCTAGGAATGACCTCCAATGACCCTCACCCTGAGGGCAGAACCAAGAGTCAGGAGGGAAAAACCAAGAGACTGGAGAGTGAAACACAGAGTCAGGGAAGATTACTTCCAACCCCTGAAACCCAATGAAGTTGGCCCAGCTGGATGTAAAAACTGCTTTAGGCTGGGGCGCCCGGGTGGCTCAGTCAGTTAAGTGTCTGCCTTCGGCTCAGGTCCTGATCTCAGGGTCCTGGGATCGAGTCCCGCTGTTGGGCTCCCTGCTCCGTGGGAAACCTGCTTCTGCCCCTCCCCCTGCTCATTCTCTCGCTCTCTCTCAAATAAAAAATCTTTTAAAAAAACTGCTTTAGACTGATAGTTCTTATGTGCCTTCATTTACCCCCTTGTTGAACAGAAATGCCCGTAACTGTCATTTCCTGCCCAAGCTGCCCCTAGGGCACGTGGGGGTAGATAACTTGTCTCTTTAATTTCACAGATCCACAAATACAAAGGAATTATGCTCAGAACTCATTATATCCAGGAGGTTGATCAGCATCTGATTCAGATGATGAATATTTTGGACTTCTGAGCTGACCATTTTTGGATGAGATTTGGGACTTTGAACTGACGCTACAAAGGGATATAAAGCCCCCAGAAACCTTTGGAGGAGGTGTGTGTATTTTGCATGTGGGACAGACGTGAATGATTGGGGGTCGGAGGGTGGACTGAAGTAGTCAGAATCCTCCCTACCCCCTGGCCAGTGTCCCTCAACCTTGCACAAATCTCACCTTTGTGAGATGTGTGAGTGCGACGAGATGTCGCTCCCATGATTACAGGACATTAAATATCCACCGGGAGATTATGCAGCCAGGCTTCATCTCATTACACGAGCCCTTTCCAAGCAGAGCTTCCTCTGGCTGGTGGAAATCAGAGCAATTTGAAATCAGAGAGAGTCAAAGCAAGAGAGCATGTGACTCAAGGGAGAGTCTCCCTGGCCTCGACAGCTTCTGTTGCTTCCGTGTTTCCAGACTGCCTATGAAAGGGAAGGCCAGTGGTATCTGGGAGTGGATAGTCATACCCGGCTGCTAGCAAGAAAATGAGGACCTCAGTCCTAGAGACAAAGGGAACTGAATTCTGCCAACACCCATGAATGAGCTTGGAAGCAGATTCTTCCTCCAGGGGAGGGAGCCTGCACCTAGCTGATACTCTTGAGTTCAGCCCTCTGCAGCTCTGAGCAGGGGACCCGGCTCTCCTCTCTGGACCACGGACACGCAGAACTGGGAGCTGACAAGTGGGTGTTTCCTTATGACATTCATTGTGGCAATTTATTATGCAGCAAGAGAAAACTAACACAATTCTTTTTTTTTTTTTTAAGATTTTATTCATTTTTAGAGAGAGAGAGAAAAAATGAGCAGTGGGGGAGGGGCAGGGGGAGAGGGAGAAGCAAGCTCCCCACTGAGCAGGGAGCCCAACTCAGGGCACAATCCCAGGACCCTGGGATCATGACCTGAGCCAAAGGCAGACGCTTAACTGACTGAGCCATCCAGGCGCCCCAAAACTAACACAATTCTTAAATACGCCTTGACTCTGCTCAATCTAAGTTTGCCTTTGCAGAACTCAAGTCAGTTATTACTCAATACATCCATTACTCATTGTCCTGAAGTTATGATGACTCAACAGCTAATAAGCACATATCTCCACTTCCAAACTCAATCAAATCACACAATTCCATGTGCCTGAAATCCCCCAGGGAAGATCTAATTCGTTATCATAATCCCAGCAGTGGAACTGAACGAAGTCAGCATTCTGTAGGTGAGAAGTTCCCTGAAGGACCTGAGTGACCACAGAACATGGCAGGTCACCAACGGTTGATGCCAACAGAAAAGAGGGTGGCAGGCACCTCAAGTCACGTGGGTGCGGGAGGCAGGCTGGAGGTAAGGCCCAGAGAAGACGTTTCAAAGATTCAGAGCCCCAGGTAAGATGTTAGGGAAACAAAGGCTCAGGGACATGAGCAAAGAGCCTGCAAAACTGGTCAGGAAGCAGCCTAGGAAGACTGAAGCTGACCTGGGGACTAGCCACAGGTGGAGACCTCACGCTGATTCACACCCCGAAGTGACCTCATCATGGTGAAAGGTTAGACCTGAAAGGAGGAAGATACAGCCCACGGAGGGGGGCTTTCAAGAGATAGATATTTACCAAGACAGCGAAGGTTTTTGAAGTGTGGTCCCTGGATCAGAAGTCTCAGCACCCCTGGGAACTTGCTGGAAATGTACATTCTCCAGGGCTACCTGTGACCTAAGGAATCAGAAACTCTCGGGTGTAGGGCTCAGCAACTGGCATTTTAACGCACCCCCCGGGGCATTCTGGTGCGCAATAAAGTTTGAGAACCATACATTGGTGTCTTCACCCTTACTTTCCACTGACAAGCAACTTGAGGTCCGCAGAGCCAAGCCATTACCTCGCTACCTCTGTTTTCCCACTAAAGCCTTTCTGTCGGGACACATGGAAGGGGAAGGGAGCAGTCAAATGCTATTCATTTTGCTTTTCATCTTGAGCATATCCTGAAGCAGACGCGTTGAGCTGAATGCATGCATATCAATTCAAGACAGGTTTATAGGGGATTATAAATGATTACTACAGGAACAAGTCTACACGGAATATGATCCAGAAGAGAAGGGGGGAGAAAATGAACAAGTAGCAACTGACTATGGCCAGGCACAAAACAAAAAAGCAAAGAAATGCGAAAGCTCGAAGGTAATCCTCACCCTTGAGATCTCTCGCATGAAAAACAAAAAGATATTGTAACACAGGTGTTTAGTTTCTCTGAATGAAGAAAAGGGTTCTTGCAATGAAGATGAAATAAGAAATAAAATCCTGCCTTAGTTAAAATCACACATATGAGTAGTGCTGTTATGCGTGTGAACGACAGTGTTGTGTCTATTTTGCACACATCTACTCAGCAATCATCTATTCCTTTTATTATCCAAGTACTATCTTAAAAGTTTTTTCAGAAGTGACATTTACTAAAATGCTTTTATTAAGCGTCTCCTTGAATAGCTCCTACGTGATGTATTTCCCAACTTGCAATCCAGAATCGAATTGCAGCTTTAATTGTAATTATGACTCCTATGTCTTCATGGTTTACTATTCGTTTGCAAGTAGACATGTGGCTCTAAAATATTTCTAGAACTGGGCGCCTGGGTGGCTCAGTCAGTTAAGTGTCTGCCTTCAGCTCAGATCATGATCCCAGGGTCCTGGGATCGAGTCCTGCACTGGGCTCCTTGCTTAGCAGAAACCCTGCTTCTCCCTCTCCCTCTGTTGCTCTCCCTGCTTATGCTCTCTCGCTCTCTCTGTCAAATAAATAAATAAAATCTTTTAAAAATAAAATATTTCTAGAACTGAGAACTGAATTCACACTGACTAAAGCTCATCTGTGACTTACAATACCATTCTCCGTACGTTAATTAACAAGTTAGTACCATGGTCTTTTGTCATCTCTTGTTAAATATATATACAAGAATAAATACAAAGAGAAACCAATGACAGTCAAAGGATTTTCCAAAAGGTAACACTGGATTTTTTTTTTTTTTAACCAGGCATGACAAATGAGATTTGACTGCCAAAAACTCAGTGTGGATGAATAGCACACGTAGTAAGAATTCCTTTTTTATCTTTGGTACCAGGATGAAGGATATGGCCAGTCTATAACCTTCTGAGGAAAGATTTTCCTGTTCTTGGTGGGGTATTCCCAACCTAACCTCCTTAAACCAGCTAAAGAGAATTCTAGAATTTCCCCAACATGAACCATTAAGAGAAAGCACGGCATTTTGCTCCCTTTATATGAAAGCACCCTCACCTTACTGCTTTTCATTCTGAATTTCAAAACATAGCATTACACGAAGAAGGGCATGTGTGTGTCTTCTACTGTTACACTGAGAAAGAACAGAAAAGACAGCCCCTGACACCCAGAAGCTTGCCTTACACTCACAGTGAGGCCGGGCTACTCCCCATGAGACATCAACCATCTCACCCAACATCCCCCTCAGCCAATGTCACTCTAAGATCATGATAGACTGGAAACAAAATAAGGCCCCTCCATAATTTTGCCTAAGCAGAGACAGCAATAAAGTCAGTGTGTCACCTAGAAAATACCCAACATCTCACTTGGCTAAGCTGGACTGACTGCTACTTATTAGCCAAGTGCAACTTTATCCTTGTTTTAACCTCCCCTCTCTCTAGATAGGATTTATTGATTCCCAATTACAGAATTGGCCCTGCTTTCTTACAGCATTTGACCTAGGACAAAGCCCCGCCTTTTTTTTAGATTCCCCACCCCCTGCAAATTACCCACCCAAAATCCCAATCCTGTAACAGGTTCTTTTTTTTTTTTTTTTTAAGATTTTTATTTATGTATTTGAGAGAGCCAACGAGAGAGAGTACAAGCGGTGGGCAGGGGGTGGGGATGGGGTTTGGGGGGGCACAGAGGGAAAAGCAGGCTCCTCACTGAGCAGGGAGCCCGATGCGGGGCTCGATCCCAGGACCCTGGGATCATGACCTGAGCCGAAGGCCAACGCTTCATCGACTGAGCCACCCAGATGCCCCTAACAGGTTCTTTCAAATAGGCTTTTACTGAATGAAACGCTCCATCGTTCCCAAAGAGGTGTGTTCTCCGACTCTGCGGCGGGCAATAAACCCAACCTGTCTAACTACTGGTGCATTTGTTTCCCTCATAAACAACAGAAATGTGTTCCTTACAGTTCTGGGGGCTAGAAGTCTGAGATGGGGGTGCCAGCGCGGTGGAACTCGGGGGAGAGCCCTCTTCTGAGTTGCAGCCTGCTGACCTCTCACTATATCCTAACAGGGCAGAGAGTAGAGCTGCAGGGGCATTCCTGACGGTCAGTCAGGATGCCCATGATCCTTTAATGCCAATCATAGAAGGAGTCTGGAAAGCAACGAATGACTGATGCAGTGACTCATCTAATGGTTTGATACGCTGTGCTCATTCACCTAGTTGTTACTCTGCACTGTTTAATCCCTTAAGAAGTCAGATGGCATTGACTATTTGCTTTATACATTACATACATGCTTAGATCTGGTCAATTTAGTTACTAAAAAAGAAAGAAGAGGGGCGCCTGGGTGGCTCAGTTGGTTAAGCGTCTGCCTTCGGCTCAGGTCATGATCTCAGGGTCCTGGGATCGAGCCCCTCCATCGGGCTCCTTGCTCAGTGGGGAACCTGCTTCTCCTTCCGCCGGCCACTCCCCCTGCTCGTGCTCTGTCGCTCTCTGTCAAATAAATAAATAAAATCTTAAAAAAAATAAAAATGAAAGAAAACTCCATATTATACTAATGATCAAATGCTACAAAATAGAAATCATGCTAACTTTGACCAAAAAGATTATAATAGCCTCTATTACTGAGCACTTACTACATGCAAATATTATACTAAGTGCTTCATACAATTTAGCTCATCTAAAACTCAATAAATAGGCTGTATCTATGACTAACAGAATGACCAAGTAAAAGTGGTTTAAAAAATGTAGAAAATGTATTATTCACGGTGCCCACAGAGCTCCATGATGTTATTGGCACAAGGACGGCTTTGCTTTCTGTCTTTTCTGAAGTTTTCCTCAGTGTGTCAATGGCATCCCTCTTTTTGACCGCAAGCTGGCTAGAGTCGTATTGGGCTTCACACCACATAAAATGAAAGGGAAGGGGCAGGAGGAGAGGGAGAGAGAGAATCCCAAGTCGGCTCCACACCCAACACGGATCCCGATGTGGGGCTTGATCCCACCACCCTGAGATCACGACCGGGGCCAAAATCAAGAGTCAGACGCTTGACTGACTGAGCCACCCAGGGGCCCCCTAGCTTTAATTTGTATTAGAGAAGAACTGTTCCTCCCACTGAGTTGCATTGGGTCATCTGTCCAGACCCTAGTCACAAAGTGGCAACTGAGAACATGAATATCTAGAGTTTTCAGCCTCAGTACTTGGAGGTGGGCTCCATCAGCAAGGGAGGGAGAGGAAGTAGCTATCAGGTAGGAAGAGGCAGCACTTTCACAGGTGTTATAATTATCTCCATCTTACAGAAGCGTTAAGTTTGAGCTTAAAGAGGTGAGGTAATTGACCCACAGCGACCCGGGTAGAACGTGCATTGCTAGAATTCGAATCTAGCTCTGCAGCATTCCAAAGCCTGGGATGCCATGTCAGACGGACCCAGGTTTGTAGCTCAACTTTGCGTCTTTTCGTTGGTGACTTCGTACTACAATTATTGTCCTAACCTCCTCCGTATAAGTGAATAGTAAGCCGATAACGTACAAGTGCTGAGCACAGTGCCTGGTCCTGTCATCACTGTCTTTGTCATCAGTCAGCAGCATTATTACCAAAGGGTACCGAGGATGCCCCCCACTGGGTGGAATTTCTAGGTGGTTGTTCAAAGTCCAAGAGCTCCTCTTCTGTCTTCCACGGTACCTGGTATGAGGCATTTACTCTGTTGCTGTGGCCATACTTCCTGGCTTGTGTCTTTCACTCATATGAACGCTCCTTGCGAACAGAGACCACATCTTACTTATCTTCCTATTTTCAGCCTCTTGCACAATGTTTGGCGTGTGGTATGTGCTCAGTAAGAGATTTTGAATGGTGGTGAGGGTAGGAATAGCTCTCTATTCAACACTTGGGAACTAGGAGTCCTATTTCTCAACCTTAGAAAAATCCTCACTTCCCAGAAAAATATGCGATTACAAATATCTTATACAGGGACGTCTAAATGACAGGCTCAGCACTGAATGGAACTACGTATGTTCAGAGAAAAATTCTTCTTGAAGATTTTATTATTTGAGAGAGAGAGCATGGGCAGGGAGGAGAGGGAGAAGCAGACTCCCTGTGAGCAGGGAGCCTGACACGGGGCTCGATCCCAGCATCCTGAGATCATGACCTGAGCCGAAGGCAGACTGCTTAACCGACTGAGCCACCCAGGCGCCCCTTTTTTGTTCAGAGAAAATTTTTATCCTCCCGAATCCACAAATGGAAAGGCTACTATTATATAAATCTTCTTCTTTCATTTCAAACCTTGATGTACGTTCATTGATTAAAATGTATAGGGGTGCGTCAACAAAATTTCAGCTCAAAGAAGTCATTCAAGCATCCAGAAAAAAACACGTGTATTATAAATTTGAGATCCTTAGAAAAATTAGGAGGAACATCTAAAAACTCAGCAATAAAATACTTTGGGACTACGAGGAAAATGCATTCTAGAACAATTTCAAATAAAACCAAACTTAGGAGAAATGTTCATTTCTGAAAGTTGCCTTCCAGTTCTCACGTTTCCCTGTATCTGAGGATACTAAGTGTAATTCCTCAGCACAAGATGAGTAGCAGACAGTTTACAACACTCACCCCGAGAGCATGGAGACGCACTAGGGGAAACAGATACTGCTCTGCATGTAATAGGTATTTCAGAGGTAGTGAAAATCAGGCAGCCATATTGGCATCCTCCCCTGCTTTATTTATTTATTTATTTTATTTATTTGCGAGAGAGAGAATGAGAGACAGAGAGCATGAGAGGGAGGAGGGTCAGAGGGAGAAGCAGACTCCCTGCTGAGCAGGGAGCCTGACATGGGACTCAATCCCGGGACTCCAGGATCATGACCTGAGCTGAAGGCAGTCGCTTAACCAACTGAGCCACCCAGGCGCCCCTCCTCCCCTGCTTTAAACTCTGACATACACAATGTACATACACAAAACCTTGGTTGGCATTTTCGTTAAAAGCTCCCAGGATGGTATACAACCGTGTTGCTCTTTGGTGTAAGATGTTCTTCAAGGGGAAGACACCCATCTTCAAGATACCAAATCTCCTTAAACTAAGCCATAAATGTAATGTGGTCCCAATAAGAATAACAAAAGGACTTTTGCAGGATTATAAGCATATTTTAACATTAACCTATCAAAGTTAATGTTTCACACTCCTAGGAAAGAGTAAACATGCAAGCAGAGGAGAAGAAAATTCTGAAAATGAAGAGCAGTGAGGGTGGATTAGCTTTCTCAGATGTTACAGCATATTATAAAGTGATGATAATTAAAACGGTGTGATGAGTATGCGTGAATAAATTGACAGATTAACAGCAAACACTATGGAGCCTAAGAATAGGCCCAGAATACATCCATGAACACTTAAGAGGTGAAGGGATGGCATTTAAAACTATCGGAGAGAGTGGGGCACCTGGCTGGTTCAGTCGGTGGAGCGTGCGACTCTTGACCTCAGGGTTGTAGGTTCAAGCCCCACGTTGGGTGTAGAGATGAGTTAAAAATAAAATCTTAAGGGCGCCTGGGTGGCTCAGTTGGTTAAGCGACTGCCTTCGGCTCAGGTCATGATCCCAGGGTCCTGGGATCGAGGCCCGCATCGGGCTCCCTGCTCCGTGGGAGGCCTGCTTCTCCCTCTCCCACTCCCCCTGCTTGTGTTCCTGCTCTCGCTGTCTCTGTCTCTGTCAAATAAATAAATAAAATCTTTAGAAAAATAAAAAAATAAAAAAAATAAAATCTTAAAAAAATAAATAATCCCAATAAATAAAACTATTGGGGAGAGACAGATGATCACAAAAGGATGTTAAGCAACTGGAATAAAAGTTATTACACCAACATTTCACACCTCACACCAAAATAAATTCCACAAGGGTCAAAGACTTCAATGTGGATGATAAACCCATTAAGGCACTAGAAGAAACCAGATGATAATGTCATTTTATTTATTTTTTAAAGATTTTATTTTTAAGTCATCTCTACACCCAATGTGGGGCTCGAACTTACAAATCCCGAGATCAACAGTCACATGCTCTTCTGGCTGAGACAGCCAGGTGCCCAAGGAGGATAATTTTAATAATCTTCACATGGGGAAGTTCTTCCTAAGAATGAAACAAAACAAAACAAAAAACCCTAGGGAAAGAAAACACACTTAGCTTGACCCATGGGTGAATGGCTGGGAGCCTTCCAGGCCTTTAGCAAATATAAAATCCAGTGAAACAAAGAAAGTATTAGAGTCCTGGGGGTCAGCGACTACTGATCCTTCTGTCACCTCCTGCCTTAGAGCACGGCCCCTAAGTTCTCTCCCTTGGCTCTGCTCCAGTGAATGGATGTCGGGACTGCACCAGCCACCAGACATGCAGCACGGAGGAGGCCCACAGTGAGGGGGGATGAGGCCCACAGTGAGGGGGAGCTCATCTTGACTTTTTTAAGTTGAAAGCAATAAATCTGTTCTTGTTTAAGTGGCAGATGGACTGTTCCTTGGCTTTTGGCAAACTTTTCAGGGAAAAATGAACCCATATGGTCTGGAAGGGGGAAAAAAAAATAGGGCAACAACCAAGATCTGGATCTAACTGCTTAGCTAATCACTTAGCAGTCGGCCAGAAGTCATGGGCTGGAACAGGACGACGGGGACTTCCTGGAAAGTCTCACCCACCCTGTCTTCAGCGCTTTACCTGGGTTGACTCATTTCCTTTTCACAGCAGCTCTGAGACGTGAACTTAGATAATGTGTCCTCACAGGCTGTCCTGTCATCAAAACATATGGCATTCTAGGTCATAGGAATTTTATCTATAGTATCATCTACTCATGAAAAATAATTTGTGTTACAACGAGCCCCTCTCGAAACTCACAGATCATAGTGTATGTGAATGTCTACATTTGTTCCCTTAGTCAGCGTTTTGTGACTCTGCGAAACCACCTTGTCTTCCTAAAGGTACATAGCAACAACCCACAGTTATATGTATCCGGGAGCGCTGCAACACTGATTTTCCTGAAATAAACGCAATGTCCACTTATCCTGCTCCTCTCATTCTTCTTCCTCCCTCTAAATCAGTGTTTCATTTACCATCGGCAACCTCTAGCCTGCGCAAAGAAAGCAAGTAAGACAAAGCAAAACGAAGCAGGGGTCCTATGCAAAACTGAGGATAAAATTTCAGCCTAATGAAGAGAGAAGACTGAAAAGGTTAGGAAAGACAGCTCCGTGGAGTCAGGACATGTATCTCCTGACTCCCAGTCATGAGTTACTCACAGTAGGCAAAGACTAAAAATAGGGCAAACTCACTACACACAGACACTGGGGTTTAATTTAGAAATTGCTATGTTTTTGTTTTTGTTTTTTTCTCTTTGCACCACTGACCTCTCCTAAGATTCTCCACCATGAGAAAGCAGGCAGATCCACTGAGAAACAGCATCATGGAGCCTAACAACCACCACCAGGCTTAGGAGCCAGACCGTGGGACATTCTAATGACTCCATTGTCTTCCAGCCTGTGAACCTGGGGCTTAGGACTTGTGTCTCCAGCTTCAGCTTCCTGGGACTCATATTGCACATGATCAGACTAAGCATCTAGGAACTACAGAATATTGGACATAATGTAAGTTCAGTGCCTGACACCGTAGGTGATAAAAAATGAAACCTATTATTACCAGCAGATATTTTTCTAAATTATCTGTCGAGTCTTTTTTTTTTTCATTCCTCAATTCATTGTATGTGTAAGGAAATTCCTACGGCACTGAACACGACTGCAAGTGTGTGCTAACTGAAAAAAAAAAAAGATTAGCTATTTCGAACATACAGAAAAACATTGAAAATAACATACTGTCACCTATGTGTGTATCCGTCAAGAAAGAGTGCCACCTGGGCGCCTGGGTGGCTCAGTTGGTTAAGCGACTGCCTTCGGCTCAGGTCATGATCCTGGAGTCCTGGGATCGAGTCCCGCATCGGGCTCCCTGCTCGGCAGGGAGTCTGCTTCTCCCTCTGACCCTCCTCCCTCTCATGCTCTCTCTCTCATTCTCTCTCTCTCAAGTAAATAAATGAAATCTTAAAAAAAAAAGAGTGCCACCTGTGTGTTTTAAAACTTTATATAAAACGGTTATCAGGTGGTCCATATTATTTTATAGCTTGCTGCACCCTCCCCCTCAGCACTGTTTTTGGGACTTAACACATGTTGATATTTTTTTAAGCTTTGTTATTTTAAAAGCTCTAAAGTAGTCAATTGTAGGTACCTGCCATAATGGGTTTCTGAATTCTCTCACTGTTGGAGATTTAGATTGCTTCCAGTCTTTCACTAGTACAGAGAATATTGCAACAGACGTCCTCCGTATACCTGCTTCTTTCAATACCTGTGGGAGGCTTTCTCTAGGGTACAATTCCACAGCTCCAGGGGAAAAATCACTAGATTCACAAAATAGCCCCATTTTCAACATCACTCGCTACTGCCAAACTGTGTTCCGAATGGTTATAGCATTTTATTGTTGCGGCTTGCGGGGGGGCGGGGGGCAGGGGGGTGTTGTTTGCTTTTCATTCTTTATTGAGCTGTATCTTAGACACCATAAAATCTACACATGCAAAGTGTACAGCTCAGCAGACTTAGTATATTTGCACAATTGTGCAACCTTCACCACAATATAATTTCAGATTCATGTTTTTATTTATAAATAAAGAAATCTGTAAAGCTGGTTATGCATCCTGGCCGTGGCCACAAAAATCCCCGGGAGGAGCTAGTCGGCCGAGATTTCCTTGCTTTAAACCTGTTGTTTGAGGAGGTAACTGGCAGGGACATTCCCAACTTGATTATGAAGAAGAAGAAGAAAAAAATTCTTTAAATGCAGGTTCCTGTTATTTGCTTAAAAAAGCATTCCTATTTATTCACCTCGAGTAAAGTGACTCAGAGCTAACTCTATTTGAAGACAAGGAGAGGAGTGTGATTCCAAATGAAGGCGTTATTCACCACCCCCTAGCAGCCCCCCAACAATTCTGGCTCATGCCAGAAAGGGAGGGAGGTGTGAACGGAGTACGGATATTGGAGTAAACAGTTGTGAAAGCTAGTGCATTGGCAAAGAGAGCAACTCTCTCTTATTTCTCTCCACAGCTTCACTTGTTGGGCTTTGGATCAAGTAATTTCCAATGCTCTGAGTTATTCGTTAATGGCACATTCAAGTATTCTTTACTCCAACTTGAACTTCATGTATTAACAACGTGGATTGCCAAGTAGGACTTAGAGGACACATTTCTTTAAGAATATCGTTCCTAGGCAGCCATGGAAGATTCAAAATCGAAAGCGTCTCTCTCCTCGGCGGCATCTCATGAGAAACCTCAGGTTCAAGGACAACGTCCATTCTCTCTCGCTAGTTCATTCCCGTTCGTCCCCGGCTTAGGGAGATCCATTTTCAGATGCTCTGATTTCACTCCGTCAAGTGCCTGGCAGCTTTCTGAAATTTCCTCCTTGCCCTTCCGACCTTCCCGCAAGTACGGAGGGACAGTCACGTTCTGGGGATGGCCCAGCAGCCGGTGGCGGCAGACCGGGCTACGTGCAGGAGGAGAGGCAGGGACACGGGACCGACCGCCCAGGGCAGCTGAGGCCTCAGCCACACCCACCATCCGCAGCTCACACAGCCCTGCCATCAGGGCTCCTTTGGGTTTGGGATGGGATCTGCACAGCTCGGCTTGGCTCGGGGAGACAAGGCCTGCTTTCTCTTTAAAATCTGCTCCCTACGAGTTGCCAGGGTTCCAAAAGTAGGGTTGGGGGCAATCCTATCTGCCCTCCCCCCACCCAGCGTCCCATCTTACTGTAGTAGCCTGGCTAAGTGGGAGGTCCTTCTGTGTTCCACGTGCATTATTTCACTGAATCCTCAGAATCATCCCACCCTCCAGGTATTCTTAGCTCTGTTTTTAGATGAGGACCCTGAGACCCAGGAAATGAGGGGTCTCGCTTAAGATCACAATTTATCGAGGGAAAGGGTGGGGGTCTGACTCCACAGCAGTGGGCTTCAGGGGATGGGGGACGGGAAGCAGGAGAAGGGGTCCACTGGGTGCAGGTGGAAATTTTTAAAAATAATAAAATCTGCGGTGCCTGGGTAGTTCAGTTGGTTAAGTGTCAGACTCTTGGTTTCAGCTCAGGTCGTGCTCTCAGGGTCGTGGGATCGAGCCCCACACTGGGCTCCATGCTGGGCATGGAGCTTGCCTGGGATTCTCTCTCTCCCTCTGCCTTTGGCCCTCCCCCTGCTCTCCCCCAGCTGTATAAATGAGCAGCCAGGGTACTCTGAGGGGGCTCAACCGGGACACTGAGGACGGCAGGACCAAAGGATGAGAAGATCCTGGGTTTTTCTGTTTATTACTGTGGTAAAATATAAATAAAATTTACCATTTTAACCGTACACTTCAGTGACAGTAAGTACATTCCCAATGTTGTACAACCATTGCCACCATCCATTTCCAGAAACTTCTCATCACCCCAAACAAAAGCTCTGTACTCACTAGACATGACTCCCTATTCTTCCCTCCCTCCAACCCCCAGTCACCTCTGTTCTTCCGGTTGCTATGAATTTGCCTGTTCTAGGTACCTCATAGAGTCCTATATATAATATTTGTGTTTGGCTTTTGCGTCTGTTTTTTTTTTTTTTTTCCCACTTCACATGTTTTCAAGTTCATCTAATGTTGGAGCATGTATCAGAATCTTCTTTTTGAGGTAGAATAATACGCCGTTGTTTATAAGAACTTGGGGGTTTTATTCATTTGTTTGTTTTTAAAGATTTTATTTATTTATCTGACAGAGAGCAAGAAAGCACAAGCAGGGGGAATGGCAGACCGAGAAGTAGGCTCCCAGGCTGACCAGGGAGCCTGACTCGGGGCTCGATCCCAGGACCCCGGGATCATGACCTGAGCTGAAATCAAGAGTTGGATGCTTAGCCGACTGAGCCACCCAGGCGCCCAAGAACTTGGGTTTTTAAAGGACACCTTGGAGTCACCATACCTTAGGGAACCTCTTGTTAAGTTAGAGAAGCCTACCTTATGGTGTGGGTCACGTGGCATTGGGTTTCTGTTTCCTGCATCTGGAAGAATCCTAACAGGCCTGTTCGGCACAACCCAGGCCCTTCTGTGAAGCTCCAGGGTGGGCAATGAAGCCCAGAGAGTCCTCCACGTGGAAGCTCTCCAGCATGCGGCACAGTGTTACAGAATTTCCGTGTGCATGTAAATCTGATCTACACATACGTACACACACACAAACATACAACCAAGGCTGCACCTTGACTTCTTGTCATCCTCGGTATAGTTATTTGGTAGTTCTTTTTACAGCAGTTAATTACAACATACACAGTTATTCAGGACTTCATATTTTTCTTCATTACAAAAAATGTATTTCACTCCAGATTGAAGGAGACGCTGTGCCTGGTACTCTGTGGAGGAGTACAGATTAATGCCTTTTTTTCAAAATACTTTCCCACAGTCTTCCCTGGAGTTGGAAATAATCAAGTGTAGTCAAGGGTAATGAATAGAAACATTTATTTAAAAAACACCATCCAGCATCCATGGCTCCCACTTTGGTAGTAAGCAGGAAGGGTGGGTTAATGTTTTTTTACTATATGAAATTGGAGATAGATGAAGCCGCAGAGGGGGAAAAAAAGCGTATTATTAAAACTGAAAAAGAAAAGTGAGTAGTAAGCTACTATGATAGAAAGGGACTTTAAGCAAATGTCACCGCACAATGAAAACAATCTCTTCTTCAAGGAGTACTATAAAGTAGGAGGTTTGACTTACTTGCAGGATTATGGGAAAAGTTCCTCGCAGAACATTCGGTCATGGCTATGAAGAGGTGGAGGCAGAAAGATGTGAGCAGACCCCAGGACTAGGAGGAGACACGAAGTGAGGATAAGGAGAAAGAAACATCAGGCAGAACGTCTTTACTCAACAATCCCTACAAAAAATGTATTTTAAAAGAATCTGATTAAGCAAGTATTGTAATTCAGTTTTGACTATGAAAACGTAGCAGATAGCATCGGAAATCAATTATGCCATCAACACATTAGCATATCCTTTCATTGGGAGCCTATCTTAAGCCTCCTGCGACTTATTATACATCACATTACAAAATTGTTGTTTTTTCGCTTGTTCCCTTTTCTGGTGCCTAGTTGTTCACATTCTGAGAGAGGACAAAGGCCCTTTAGAGCTCCATCAATTCAAGCCTTTCATGTCACAGATAACGGAGAAGATCACATTCAGCCCGAGCAGCAGAGACTGGACAGGAACCAGGTCTCCTGGTCCCCAGCGGCCGCTCTGCTTGTTACAACATGACGTGACTCGCACTCCAGCCCGTCGCCCGTCTGTACCTGAGGCCTCTCCCTCAGCTGCAGGTGAGCCAGGAGGGCATGAAGGGACAGGACAGGGCTGGGTAGGCCTCTGCGGGAGGCTGTGATGTGGCACACAGAACGCGTCTCCTGCTTCCATCCTAAGTCTGTGGATAATCTACGACGTACAGACGCGCACACGCTGAGGCTACTCTGATCACCGAGCTGAGAAATACTTCCTGGGTAGAGCCCTGTGAGTGAGAGGAATTTTTTAAAGGCTGCCCTGAGAGAGATGAAGGAGAACACCGAGCCAAGGACACACACGTTTCAGAAACCGTGCGCATGAAGCCCTGGTTACGGATGACCTAACAAGAGCTTGAGGCTCTAGGGGACCTCAGGACAGGGCTCCCTGGAGTCCCCTAGCCACAGCGCCACCAAATGGGTGGCTAGTCAATGGTAGGCACTGTCTCCAAATCCCCCAATTCCAGCAGAAGGAAAAACAACAGTCGATCGGTGTCTTGTAAAGCGCCCCACCACTCTCGCATCGGCTTTTAATTTCGTAGGCATCATTACTCAACATTCTGAATGTTCTCGTCGGGGCCACGAGACCAGCCACTCTCCCCTGGGGCGCTTCTGAGAGGGGCCTCCCAAGGAAGGGCGGTCAGATCTCCTGGGGACCTTCTGTCCCACGTGTCCTTTGCAAACAAATGGAAGCGTCATCATATCTGTACAGCATCTCTCACCGAAGTCTGTGTTCAAGGACTGACACAAGGGATGCAAATGAAGGCTATCCTTTGTGACACGCATGGACCCAGAAAAGGAAAAGAGGAATGTTCTCGAAGCTCGGACAGTCTCAAGTTTATCCGAAATATGGAAAAGTACTTCCAAAGTCTACGTGGTGTCCCGCAGAAATGTATCGTGCTTGAGCGCCTGGGTTTGCGTCAGCTTCTGTCAACTTCTTGCCAGAGCTGGGCCTTCTTAAGCGGAGACGAGCGGTGGCCTTTGCCAGACGAGAGCCAGCCAGCCGCGTGTTGGGGGCTCCATCTCAGGAGAGGGCCTGGTGGCGGCCACTGCTTCGGCTCTCCTTCCACAGAGCCTGCTGGATCTGATACACGGACTCCTGGAAGATTCTTTCGACTTGGGTGGGGAAGCCCCGACTCTCTTCCTCCAGGGCATTGATGGTCCGCAGAGCGAAGGGAGTCCTGTCGCGGGGCAGGGGCTTGTGCAGGGGCCGCAGGGGGATGACCGAGTTGTACTTGTGCTGCCTGTTCACCGAGTTCATGAGCGATGTGTAGAACTGGAACTTGCACCAGGTGTCTCTCAGGAAGTTCTCGGTCAGTAACAAGATGGTCCACGCAGACCCGTTCACGGCATCGTCCAAGTTCTGCAGGTGCTGCCGGCCGCAGGGCATCTCGGCAAAGATGATCCCGGGCTTGATGCCGAAGTCGTTCTCCAGCACATTCTGGACTCTGAGGGCCTCGTCTGTGTCGTCCTCCGCGTGCAGGATCACGAACTTGAGGAACACCTCGTCCTCGTCCTCATCCTCCTTCTCCGACATGTCTCCCCGGCCCTCGGCTCCCTCGTGCTCCCCAGCGGACGCCAGGGCCGCGGGGCCAGGCTCAGCCAGATGGCACAGGGAGAGGTCGTCGGGTGTCTTGGAAACTGATTTCTGGCGTCTCTGACTCATTTCCACCCCAGGGCTTTTACCCCAAGAGAGAGAGATAGGGCAGGGGTCTATTTTAGACTTCCCGACACCCATCATAAATATCTGAGGCAGAGGACGAGAGCTTTACTTCTTTCTCAACATTTCTTTTCATTCTACAAAGAGAAGAAATAACAAAGCGAGCGAATGTTGTGAATGTCATCCAAACATTACAAATGGAAAAAAAAATATTTTTTCATTCAACCTGAAAGCCTCAAAGAGATCATAATATAGAGGTCCTGAGGAAGAAATGCCAATCGGATTGTGGGGAAAGGAAACCCCTCGTCTTCTATGAGCTTCAGGAGGACTACCACGGGTGGTCAAGGGGGAGAGGAACAGGGAGTCCCTTTAATGGAACAGGAGACCATTGGAAATCTGACATGGTATTATAAACCTCCAGAATAAAGTCAACTGCTTTGGTATTTGAGTAAGACGAGACGGTACCATGCCAGTCTGTCCCTATGGAGTTTAAATCCAACTTTTTATTTTATTTATTTATTTGACAGAGAGAGACACAGTGAGAGAGGGAACACAAGCAGGGGGAGTGGGAGAGGGAGAAGCAGACTCCCTGCTGAACAGGGAGCCTGATGCGGGACTCGATCCCAGGACCCTGAGATCATGACCTGAGCTGAAGGCAGACGCTCAACGACTGAGCCACCCAGGTGCCCCTAAATCCAACTTTTTCATTCTCGAGTTATCGTGTAAACTAGAAACAGAAAAGTCGAGAGCGACAGAATACTCAAATATTAAATACTCAACTTATTTTCGTATCAAACACAAATACAAAACAGAACACAAATACCAAGACGACCAGCTGGCATTTCGACTAACTCAGCACAGAGAGAAGATCTGAAAGGTCGAATGAAACAACGTCTGGGGTTCACTGGCTCGGAGCTCTTCCGCCGGCCGGGGGTCAGGCAGTGGCGTGGGGCTGGCAGGGCGATTATAGGGTCGGGGAAAGTAAGGGATACCTTTTTCTAGCTAATCCTGGGAATGCTTCAGAAAACTGAGTACTCACCTCAGGAAAAAATTAACTTCTGGGTTTGGGAGTGAAATCTGGAAACAAAGGCTACGGATCTTCTCCAGTGAAATCAACAAAGAATCATTATAGTCTATCCTCATTCTGTTATTTCATTTACTTATTTATTTTAGAGAGAGAGTGAGTGAGCATGAGCGGGGAAGGGCAGAGGGAGAAGGACAGAATCCCAAGTAGGCTCCACACTGAGTGGGGCTCGATCTCATGACCCCGAGATTATAACCTGAACTCAAATCAAGAGTCGGATGCTTAACTGACTGAGCCACCCAGGCGCCCCTCGTTGTGTTATTTTATAAAAATTCTGAAGTCAGAGTGGAAGAATTAGATCCTCTGTGAAAGAAAAGTGCTTCACTGAATCTGGTTTAAGCAAATCTTCAGCAGTGTTGTTAACAGAACCCCCAAACAGGCAGTTTCAAGAGGGATTCTTTTATCAAAAGATAGAAAATTTAGAACAGATAAATACAGGTTTCATACTTCAAAAAAAAAGGGTGGGGCTCTATTCCAGAGCTTTTAAATTTATTGTTTATGAACAAAGACCAGAGTTCAAGTCAAGAATTTAATTAGGCTTACGATCATCATGACATAGATAACACAGCTTACATGTACCAAGATAATTCAAGGTTAGAGGAAACCACTCAGCAAACATTATGAAGAACTGTTATGGGAAGAAAAGATAAGGAAAAACACAGAGCATTTCTTTCTAATGTACCTAAGGAGTGAAAGGGTTTGCTACTCCCTCTGAACAGTGAGGGGACTGCTGGCTACTCTAGTAAATGTATCATGTCTGTACTTTAAATTCTACTCCACAGTATATTATGACAGCTACCGAGAGATACTTTAAGGCATACCTCTCAAACGCTAATACATACATTCCAAATAACAAAACCGCGTGAATTTGGACTCTTCACTGGTTAAGATTCACTGCTGACTCTGTTATTGTGTTACGGAAAAAGGTGTCACTCTGCAAAGCTGAAGAAAAAAACTTCTCCTGCATATTAAATAATAATTGTCGAACGACGTATAGAATTTTTGAATCGCTATGTTGTATGCCTGAAACTAACACAACACTGTATTTTAACTGTATTATAATTTCAAAAAAATTGTTAAGCGTTCAGAAGACCCTATTTACAGTGTCAATTAAAATGTTAAACCAACCTAAGACCATTACCTTCCTCACTAGCCACTGCAGGTAAATATGCTTGGAGTAAGACAACAGATATTCATAAAAAGTGTCCCAAACTACAAACTACTAGGGTAAAATGATGTGTCAAGCCTGACTCACGGAATCTCTTGATATGAACAAAAATAAGTAACAAAAGAAGAGAACTGCAACTTTAGGTCTCGTTTTTCTTAAACACTGGTCAGCAAAAAAAGAGCAAAAGCTTCCAGAAATCTGATGGTGCTGTTCCAACCCACTCCAGAGCCCTCCTCCCCAGCCCAGAGAGAAGAGGATGAGCGACAACGTCTGGAAAACTTCCCTATAACCTTCTAATGTGGAGGCAGAGAGCAAGGAGCCGGCCACGGGAAAGAGACGTGCACAGCTGTGAGCCGGAGGGCGGCCTCTGCCGGCACCACAGTGCTTCCTAGATGGGCAGATGACCTCCATCCGGGACTGTGGTGCTCAAGGCTGGAAGGACCGGATGGCTGTGCTCCCGCCGAGCCAGACTCCATCTACCAGAGGGCTTTCCCACAACGCAAGGCAGGCATGAAAGGCTGACGGAAGGAGCCCAGGAAGATTCTGGAAGGTCCCCTCCCCGTCAGCGACAGGCAGATGCAGACTGAAAACACCTTCTTCCCCTCAGTGAAATGGAAGGAGCATGAAGGCAGCTGCTGGGGAGAGGCACACGGAGTCACTGGTCACAGGAATGAAGACATCTGTGTATACATTTTTTCATTTACTTTTTAAGAAAAGGTAGTGGCTGAAATACCTAATGACTTTGAAAACGTTGATAGTGAAAATTCTCACTTCCCCATCCCGCCTATTGCCCCCACGGCCTCCTACCAGTGACCACTTTTATTAGTTTCTTCTATATCCTTCCACTGTTTCTTTATGAATATATATCTTTTTCTTTCCTTTTCATAAAAAAGTATCATTTACATGTGTAAAAAAACACACACACCCACTGCAAAACAGCAGCGGACAGAGATTGCTTTTCCCATTAATACTCTAAGCTTAGAGCTTTCCACAGTAGCAATAACTTCTTCATTCTTCTTTACAACAAAATCTTCCACCACGTGGTTGTACCATAATTGTTCCCTGTTCTCGGATATGTGAGCTCTTCCCAGTCTGCTACTATTATGAACAATGCTGCAGAGAGCAGCTTTCTATAAAAGTCATTCCATAGGTGTACAAGTTCATTTGCAGAGTAATCTCCCCAAATGGGATTTCTACATCAAAGGACAAATGCGTTTGTAATAATGAGAGATTTGGCCAAATTACTCTCTGTAAGACTGAAACTTTTGTGTGTGGGTGTGTGTGAGTGCGCTTTTAACCTGAAAGAATGACATCCCTACCTCCACCCCTTGTCCCAGAAAAGATCTAAGACCAAAGCTGCTGACAACAGCCCCACCGAGCTAATGACATCCTCTGAGGGCAACAATTCTGTGGAAAAAAACCCATCAGAATGAAGTCCTTGAGCTGAAGTTCTGAAGGGAAGATCAACAGGTCCTAGATAAGAAGGAAGGGGAGTCCAGAATGTACTCACCTTGTATCTGGCCAAAGAGGGTCCCAATAGGATCCCCCACATTAAAGGGGAGTAAGGTGAAAAGAAGAGTATGACAAATGTGCATTCTTGGCAAGTAGCCATACAGACTATAGGAAACGAAAAAGAATATTAAGAATAGCATGCAAAAGACAAAAAAATTCCACTTTCATCAAGACTGTGTGCTCTGGGGGCGCCTGGGAGACTCAGTCAGTTAAGCGTCTGGCTCTTGGTTTCAGCTCAGGTCATGATCACAGGGTTGTAGGATCGAGCCCCGGGGTCGTCGGGCTCTGCGCTCAGCGGGGAGTCTGCTTAAGATTCTCTCTCCCTAGAGGGCGCCTGGGTGGCTCAGTTGGTTAAGATTCTCTCTCCCTATCCGCCCCCCCACCCCGTGCACACTCCTGCTAATAAATAAATAAATCTTAAAAAAAAAAAAAAAAGACTATATGCTCTGGAATCTGACTGCCTGAATGTAAATCCCAACACCCTGCTATAAAAATACTGTGTGACTTAGTCCAAGTTGCTTGGTATCTCTGTGCTTTAACTTCATCATGTGTATAAAATGGTGATAATCACAGTACCTACCTTGAGGGGTTTTATGAAGATCAAAATGGCTGAGAACAGTTCTCAAACATGTTGGCAGCTGTTACGGTTATTAGATACATAACAAGGGAGCTAAAGAAAAATTTACAGAAGCAGTGCATAGGCTCTAGGACGGGGCTACTCCAAGTGCGGTCCGGGGACAAGCGGCTGGTCTCTGATCGGTCTGGCACCAACCCCATCAGGTAAGTATGCTTTTCAGCTCAGCTGACGTTTTTCTCAGAGCAAGACATTTTCTTTCTTTCTTTTTGGTAAGATTTTATTTTTAAGTAATCTCCACACCCAACATGGGGTTTGAACTCACGACCCCAAGATCAAGAGTCGGCATGCTCTTCTGACCAAGCCAGCCAGGCGCCCCTGCAGGACATTTTCGAAGAAGAAAGTAGCATGGTTTACCTTCGGTGTGCGCTTCTTACAGTATCGTAGACAATCACTCTGAGGGGCACTGCCCTACGCCACACTGAAGAGAGTGGGTAACCAAAGAAACAAAAATATTGAAGCTGGGAGAACAGAATTACATGAAGAGAGAGACTGCAGATGAATCGAGGGTCTAACGCCATTAGGAAAAAACAGAGAAGGCAATGAATGGAATAAACATGATCAAAACCAAATCAGATTAACATGGCGGAAAGGCTTGAAAAAAATCAGAGAACATGCAGGGGCAAAAGGCCGTGACAATAAAGCCGTTTGAAAAAAATACATCGCTACAGAGACTGGAAAAAAATCAGAATAAAACCCAATGCATCTGAAATAGAAATTCAATGAATGTAACACAAAA